ATTTTTTTTTTTTTTTTTTTTCCAGCTTTGGTTTAAGCTTTCACTGGATGAGGCAGTCCCAAAGTTAAGATGATGTTACAATATGTTTTGGAAACTTCTTTATTTTAGTTGCTGTTCTTCACAGACTATTTTTGGTAGGTGGGCTACAAAGTACGATTAGAAGGGGTGAAAGGAAAAAATACACATTTACTATTTTGCACGAGTGGTATTTTGCTTCGTCGTCTTCTCAGTGACCGCAATCTTGATGGTATAACCCATGTTTTCGTTGATGAGATTCATGAGCGAGGCATGAATGAAGGTACATGAATTAGCAATTTGGTCTTTGGTTTTCTTATGAAAGTATTTTCAATGCTTTGATTATCTACTTCTCATTCTTTATCAGACTTCCTGTTGATTGTGTTGAAGGATCTTCTTCCACGACGCCCAGATTTGAGATTGATTTTGATGAGTGCTACTCTTAATGCTGAATTATTTTCCAGTTACTTTGGAGGGGCTCCAATGATTCATATCCCAGTAAGCTGCAACTTGGATCCCACTTTGTTGAATTTATACATTTTATTGGTGTTTGTGCACTATATTAGATGATAGTAGTCCTTTTCTATGTTGCTTGGACTCTCCGAAAATTTTGCCGGGTGCGTGTCGGATCCTCCAAAAATAGTGTATTTTTGGAGGATCCGACACAAGTGCGGCATCATTTTGGAGAGTCCGCGCAACATAGGTCCTTTTTATAGCCCAATACTCTATGTTTCCCCTACATGTTCCGTTTGCAGAATTTCTCAATCCAGATTTGAGAAGAGTGAGCTTTTGAATTTTATGCCTTTAGAAGGGTGCATACATGCAAGGTGTTAGTCTATTGCTTGTTGATCCACAGTATTAACAGAAAATATTTGTATAATTTTAGCTTTACTTGTGATTTATTTTTCATTTCGTTCCTTTGTCATGTAATATTATTTTATCAATTAAGGTCATAATATGTTGACTTTTTGTCCCAGAATGACTGTTAATCTTTCTATATTTGTTTTGTTAAACCAGGGTTTTGGTTGTTGAACTTTGCTGGCTTATTTGACACAGTATGTTAACATTTTGACTGGTTGCATTTTGTATGATCTAGGGCTTCACATATCCTGTAAGAGCGCATTTTCTGGAAGATTTGCTGGAAATAACAGGGTATAAGTTGACTTCGTTCAACCAAATTGATGATTATGGTCAGGAGAAGATGTGGAAAACACAAAAACAGTTAGCACCTCGCAAAAAGAAAAATCAGATAACTGCTCTTGTTGAGGTTATTATTCTATTTGCAGTTGTGTTCTATAGATGAGATGATGTACTTTTTTATTTGCTAGTTATATATTTTCTTTTTTATTCAATTTTTGTTAGGTTTCAGCTTCTTTCTTCATCGTATTTTTCACAACTTTGTTCCTCTATTCTTCTTTCCAGTGCTCGTTTTCTGATTGTCTTTTTATTTTCTTTTGATGTCCTTCTCTAGTTATGAACATCTAAGAGGAAGAAAAGTCGTGATTTTTCTTTGATCTCGAAATTTGGAAATTATGAAGACAGAGTGACTCAACTGAAGTTTGATCTTGTTCATTGTAAATCAGAGTTTCCCATAGATGATCGAACAAGATCATAAATTAAGATGGAAATTATATGTTCTTCATATGCTAGAAAGTGAAGTCCTTGAGGGAAGCTAATACCATTCCCTAGACCGTTAAAACAGAACTGTGAAAAGTAACTTCGCAGAATTGACTTTGCCCGCTGTTCTCCATCACTTCTGTCCCATTTACTCAGCTGTGCTCTCTGCTAAGTGGCAATTTAGAGTGGATCAGCTCTCCCCTATTAATCTGGATAGAGAATTCACCTTTTGGATTCTGGTTAGAAGAGAACCTTTTGGAGTTTACTTATCAAAATTAAAGAAAAAAGGTCTCTTGGATTTTTCTAGTTCTTGCATATGTAGAGAGGCATTTGATTCATCTAAAGAAAGCCCCCTTTTTACACCCATTTTACTCCCAAATGATCAATTTAAGTTGAAATCTACAAACATCTCAAGTCCTAGGTGCACTTACTAGAAGGTAAAGAGAAGGGGGAGAAGAAACAGTTCATTTTGGCTAGTTACGAGATGCATAATGTTTTTCATTTTCATTAGGAGCCAACATGATCTGATAGCATAATGTACTAATGTGGGTGTTCAGATGTGTTTGCATGACTTTCTTTGAGAAGGTAACATATTTTATATATAAGATAAAGTAACCCTGATCACAAAGATTGTGCTAAGAGATTACAGAAAGTTACAAGACCCCCCAAAAGAGCAAAAACATAGTCTTGTGGTAGTTACAAGGCCCCAATGATGTCCACTATAGACTCTACATCTTTTACAAGGACTTCTTTATACCAAAAGTGAAACAAAAATATACAGTTCATCTTGATCTTCTTTTCAGAACTAAATCTTTCTTAAAGTATCTAGAGTTCCTTTCCATCCATATTGTCCACCAAATATAAGCTGGGACAATGCTCCACCATTTCTTCTGCCTCAGTTGGATACCTGGATCGTTCCAGCATGCTACCATTTCTGCAGTTGTCCTGGGTACTGTCCAGTTTAATCCTTTCATACTCATGAATAAATACCACAACTTGCTGGTCACTTTACAAAAAGAGGTGGCTATTTGTTTTAATCTCATTGCCACACACAAAACATTTAGAGCATAGTTGCATTCTATCCTTATCAAACTATCATGGGTCAGAACAGCCTCTTTAACCACTAGCCAACAAAAGCATGCCACTTTAAAAGGTATCTTGACCTTCCAGATGTGCTTCCAGTTCCACGGCCCATTGTGTGGTCGTCTAGAGCAATTTTAAAAACTATAAGCTGACTTCACAATATAAATTCCCCTGCTATCTCTCTCCCATACTATTCTGTCCTCTTCCTCTACAACCCCTTTGAAGCTATCCAGGAATCTGAAGAATTCAGTCACTCTAATAACCTCCTAGTCATTGAGGAACCTTCTGAAGGTCACATTCCAACCCTGCAAGCTCCATGTCTCAGCCACAGTAGCTTGAGGTTGCTGCACTAAGTTGAAAATGTCTGAAAAAGTTTCTTTCAGAGGTCCATTTTAACTTTAATTCTGACATTACTGAACAAATCTGACCATAAGCATCTTATAGACTTCCAAACACTTACCCCATAAGCACCAGAAACACCACTTGTACACCACAACCTATCTGCGCCATATTTTTCACTAATTACCTTCTTCCACAAAGCTTGTTCCTCCAGGGAAAATCTCCACAGCCACTTCGTAAGTGAACTCTTATTATGTTGTCTCACTTTCTGATTCCCAGGCCTCCCTCCTTCTTGCTGTTGATGGGCACTCTATTTCACCAGATGGTAAACCTTTTTCTCCTTGTTCCCTTGCCATATGAATCTCTCCTTAAAGCATCCATCTTTTTCTCAACTTTTACTGGTATTGGGAACAAAGACATTGTATAAGTAGGAAGGATTCCAAAACACATTTGACTAAAGTAATCCTTCCCCCAAAGAGAGATAGCTACTTTTCCATGTGGTAAGTTTCTTTTCACATCTCTCCGATACTCCATTCCATATCTCATGGGATTTATTTTGCTCCCAATGGCATCCCCAAGTATGTAGTTGGAAGGTTCCGCACTTGACAACCTAAAACCGCAGCATATCTCTGAGTCTTGGTGACCTTATTAACTGTATACATCTGGGACTTGCTTCAGTTAACAGTAATCCTGAAACTGCTTCAATAATTGGAACGGTCAACCTCATATGTCTGACTTGCTCTTCTTCAGCTTAACAGAAAATCAAGGAGTCATCAACATAAAGAAGATGAGTAATTTCGAAGTTGCTTCTGTCATTATTCACCACCTTGAAACCCCTTATCCACCCCTCTTGATTTGCCTTCTTGATCATACTATTCAACCCTTCTGTTGCAATTATAAAAAGAAAAGGAGATAGAGGGTCTCCTTGCCTTAACCCTCTCTGCGAAGAAAGAACCCCTCCGAAGATCCATTAACCAAGATAGAGAACTTAGCATTGCTGATGCAGAAACCTATCCACCTAATCCATTTATTTCTAAAACCCATATTCTTCAGAGTTTTCAGAATATAATCCCAATTGGTATAATCATGTGCCTTTTTCATGTCTAGTTTGCCTAGAATCCCTTCCTCCTTTTATTCTAGAATCACACTCATTTGCTATTAAAGCAACATCCATGATGTGCCTGCCTTTGATGAAGGCCATTTTTTGAGGGTCAAGCAGCTTGTGAATCACTGTCTTCAGTCTTCTGTCAGCACTTCTGATATGATCTTATATACACTACGTATAAGACTTATAGGTCTGTAATCCTTCAAGTCTACAGACCCAACCTTCTTATGAATTTAAGCTGCATAAGTAGCATTAAAACTTTTCTCAAAAAATTCCTGTGAATGAAAATTTCGAAAAGTATGCAAAACATCTTCTTTGATCACATCCCAGCACGGGATAATGAAACCCATGGAGTAACCATCTGGATCCGGGGCTTTGTCTGTACCACAAGCCTTTAAGCCTCAAGGATTTCTTGCTCTGCAAACTCCCTCTGTAGCCATTGTTCCTCTGCCTCACTGGTTCTACGACAGTTAGGGCAGTTTGAGCTGTTGCCTCCAAGCTTCAGATTCAGCATAAAAGGATTGATAGAAAGCTAAAATCTCACCCTTAATAGCATTAATGTCCTCAACCTGTGTCCCATTGATGTTAAGCTTATCAGTGTTATTAAACCTTCTATGAGCATTAGCAATCCTCTGAAAATACATGGTATTTCTATCCCCCTGCTTTAACCATTGGACTCTTGATTTTTTTCTCCGAGATAGCTCCTCATTTTTAGCAATCTCCTCCAACTCCATTGTTAGACTAGCCTTCTGCAACAATTCATCTTTTGAGAGATCCCTGGAATCTTTTGCTATATCAAGTTCAAGAATTTTATTCAAGCAAATGGTTTTCAAAACCTCCAAATTTTCCCCTTGTTCTGACCTCCATTCTCTCAGTTTATCTTTCACTAATATGAGTTTTTGAGCAAGGATAAAATCTGGTCTTCCTTGTAGAACAAAAGAATGCCACTAAGTAGCTATTCTATCCCTGAAGCCCTCTGTCCCCATCCACCAGTTTTCAAATTTGAAATATGATTTTGTGTTCTCCCACTCCCCACTTTGTAGTAATATGGGGGCATGGTCTGAGGATACTCTTGGAAGCATGGATTGCCTGATATTCCTCAGACTTTCATCCCACTCGGCAGAGAATTTTCTTGACTTCTGTGATGCATATACTGAAATTTTTTACTTATTAGGTTGGTCTTACTAATTCGCTTACCGAGGACATGACCCTCGATAGAAAGGTGTGGAAGTCAAGAATTAGGGTTGTGGGTTGACAGGTAGTCGAGAGTTTCTCTTAGTCTCACCAGCAATATTAGTACTTGTCTTATTTTTTCCTATTCCTAGTTCCTTGTTATTACGGGGTGTGTCATTCTTACCGGTAGTATTGGCACTATTCTTGAATTTTCGTATTCCTAGATCTTTGTTATTACATACTATGCCATTTGCTTCCATCCTATTACCTTGTTGATGCTATTGTTTGTTTATTGCTTCCTTTTCTGCTCTTAAGCCTAGGGTCTACCGGAAACAACCTCTCTATCTTCATAAGGTAGGGGTAAGGTCTGCGTACACACTAGCCTCCCCAGACCCCACTTGTGGGATTTCACTGGGTTTGTTTTTGTTGTTTTTGTTGTTGGTGGTCTTACTAATTCAGTCTTAAACTGCATAAATAGGGCCTTAGCTGTTGCGTATTCATTACCTGGTTGGGAAAGAGAGGGTTCAAGTTATGGGAGAATTGAAAAACGAAATATGTTGGAGATCTAAGCAACTTAATTTCCTGCATAGAATCTTGAATTTTTAAAGAGTGACTGCTCCTTTTTGTATATATTATGTGCTACTTGAACATTCTTTTCTTTTATGTCACTTATAGAAAAAGACTTTAACCAGTTACCATTATGTGAGGAAATCCTAGAGATATGCTGTATAGTTAGTTTTGTTGAAAACCAATTTACATTATACGATTGAATCATATTAAATCTTTTGTTGAACTTCTCTAGGACAAGTTAAGCATAATTTCTACTGCTATCTATTGCAATATATGTGTTTCCTCCCATTGTGTTCTTTCTCTCTCAAGTAATTTCATTCTTGTTGGTTAGATGCTATACTTTCTTCTAGTTTGTTAGTATATCTGGTGCTTAGCAACCACGTCCATTCTTTTTTAAAATTGCTACTGGAAATTGTTGCTCCCTGATTGTTACTATTTGATGCTACTTTTTCTACCCCTTTACGGGAAATTGTTGCTCCCTGATTGTTACTATTTGATGCTACTTTTTCTCCCTTTTTTCCTTATTGTCTTTTGTCTCCCTCTTCTTTATTTCTTCCCCCTCTTTCTTCTTCTTCTTCTTCTTCTTCTTCTTCTTCTTCTTCTTCTTCTTCTTCTTCTTCTTCTTCTTCTTCTTCCTCTCCAGGTAGGGGTAAGGTCTGCGTACACACTACCCTCCCCATACCCTACCGGTGGGATTATACTGGGTTTGTTGTTGTTGGTTAGATGCTATAGAAAGAAATTTCATTGTCAGATCTTCCCTCATTGCAAGAGAAGTTACAGTACTAATCTTGTTTGATTGATGTACTATATGGCAGGATGCTCTAAACAAATCAAACTTCGAGAGTTATAGTGCAAGGGCACGTGATTCATTAGCATGCTGGGCTCCTGATTGTATTGGATTCAATCTTATTGAGGCAGTTTTGTGCCACATATGTCGAAAAGAACGTCCAGGTGCTGTACTAGTATTTATGACTGGTTGGGAAGATATTAGTTGTTTAAGAGATCAGCTTAAAGCCCATCCTCTCTTGGGAGACCCAAATAGAGTGTTGTTGCTCACTTGTCATGGTTCTATGGCAACCTCTGAGCAGGTAAGACTGCTCATCTCTCCCTACTTTGATGCCTCTTCGTGTTTTGCAGCTTGCAGTTGTTTCCCCTTTTCTTTTGAATGTACTGCCGCGTATCTCCTTCATTTTCATAATGTTGACACATGTATCTATTGTTAGTAGGATCTGTTCTATTGAGGTGTCACCTTTTCAGGCTGACACAAGAGAAGTAGAAGTTGTACTAATTACAACAAAGTTACATATGACTCACTTTTTTTCACTTGTTTGTCAATTTTCCCTTTCCTCTTTCCCAAAAACTCAAAAAGAAACTCATTGCCTCCACATTTCCCCCATAATGTTATATGATAACACATTTCAACAGTCTTGATAATTTTTTCGAGCAAAATTACGCTTCACTTTCTTCATACCATAGCGCTAAGTGCTTTCTTTACATCAAGATGTTTTGCGTGGTCTTTCTTTGCTACACTCGTGATAATCGTGCCGAGTTAAAGATGGATGTTTAACAATGGGCCAATATATTATTAACTTTTGTCTTGGTCGTGAGTCTGGCTTCATGGATGCTCTGTTGACAATCTGGATTACTGGGTGATCTATTGAAAAAGTAGTGCGCTACAGCATACTGCTTCATCGTTCACGATGGCGATTAGCCCACTTAATATTTTTTGATAAGTCTGGCTCACTCAATTTAGTAGATTTGTTAATTGAAAGTAAAAGTTTCTTGATGTATTGCAGGTATCTTGATCGATCCTCTTGTAGGTCTCTACAATTAAAATTTCTTTTTCCATAAAAAGCTAACAAGGTTTTCAATAACCTCTGAAACCCCCACCCAAAAGAAAAAAGAGCCGCCTTCATTCATGCACTTTAGGTACACAGAGAGAGGATTTCTGTTTAAGAAATATAAGGGCGTTATTCTGGAATAGGCCTGCTGCCTTGCACCTCTAGGAGGCTGAGGAAATGTGTCTGTCCCAATCAGCGTGTATACACAGATGATGGTTAAAAAAGAAAGTTGCATTTTCATCTTCCTTGTCTTAGAAGGAAAATCTTCTACTAATTGCAATGGGATATCTATGTTTTACACTTTTACTATCAGTTCAGATGTACTCTTACTAGAAGTGTACTTTCCTTGTCCTTGGACATAATGTTTTGACAAACTTAAATTTTAATCTGCAGAAACTCATATTTGAGAAGGCACCTCAGAATGTACGTAAAATAGTACTTGCAACAAACATGGCCGAGGCAAGTATTACTATAAATGATGTAGTCTTTGTAGTGGACTGTGGAAAAGCGAAGGAGACAACTTATGACGCGCTAAATAATACTCCATGTTTATTACCTTCATGGATTTCACAAGCCTCTGCCCGACAAGTAAGTTCCTTGAATAAAAAGCTTCTTTCTTACTCAGCCTAACCCTAAACTTTCCATATGATAATTCTTTTCCTTTTACCTTCTTTTCAAGCAAAATTCTAGATCCGTCTTTAAGTCGAGCACTATAGGAATAGTTTTTTTTCCTTATAAGTAACATGAATCAATTCTGTTCTTAGATGGTACGTAAAAAACATGATAGTAATATTTTTTTTTTGAATTGCTTTTTATGACTTTCTTGGTAGCTTGATATGCTGTTAAAATTTATTTTTTAGTTTGGTCCCTTGCAGTAAAAAGTGTAGGAACCAAGTTGATCACATGGAACTGTTGCTTATTCTGCTACAGTTGGAATAAACTGGATTATGGTGCCTTGCATTTCTGCTTATAAAGTAAAAAAAGGTCCTTAGCACTTCTATTTGGTTGGAGTTAATCCGATGGAAAGCAAACTTAATGAGTTCTTTAACTCCTCTTTTCACCTCTCCAGTTATGAATGGAGAGGAGGAGAAATGACATAACTATCCCCGTATTTGAAATGTAACATAAGTTCTTGGAGGAAATTGGTGAACAAACTGGTTTCTTTCGCTCTTCCTTTTGACTTACCAGGTGAAAATCCAGCACGACATATTTCTCCATCCATGAAGACTAATTCCTTCCTCTCTTAAGCCAAAGGCGAGCATTAGCAAAAACCTAAAATGTTAGCAAATACCTAAAGTGTCATAACATGTTAACTGAGTCCGAGGATGTGCTGAACCGTGTACACTCTTTTTTTTTTTCTGCTTGTTTTGTAAACCTTTGCACATGTGAGGGAGACTGTTTCTTAAAATTAAAAAGTCACATACCATCTGAGATCGGTTTTTCTGTGTTTACATCAAATGTTGGTGTTGAAAAGGTGAGGTATGCCTTTTCATACACATTATGAGCTACAATACTAGGTGGTGCATCGCTTGGAAGCTAAGTTGCTCGGACTCTTCACTTTCGGTGCCACACCCGTGTCGATACGACATATGTGTTGGTGTGGGTGTGGGATCCGTACCGAATTTGGTCAACTGATTTTGGGTACTTTGACCAAAATGACGAAGAAATTCGGGACAGATACAATAATTTTTGAAATCAAAATAAATGCTAAGATGAAATTGAAGAAAATGGAATACCCCGTATATAGAAATTTCTATGTCAGACCTTTCCTTTTATCTCCTTCTCCTCTTGATCAATATTTTTCTTCTTCTCGGAATACCTTGTAAGTTTTTCACTTAATGTCTCATAATTTAGACTTATTTTTTTATAACTCTATTTTTAGATATTTGAATTATTTTTAGTCGAATCCCGCACCCGTACCTCGACCCGTACCCCCGAATCTTTAAATTTAGATCATGAAAGATCCGACCTCTAGATTGGCACCTCTAGAATTCATTTTCTCAGTGTTATCTAGAGTCAAATTTTGATGATATGTTGGGTGTTCTTGTGTTTGCTTATGGAATTGTTATATCTCGTGCTTTGCAGAGAAGGGGCAGGGCTGGCCGCGTGCAACCAGGCGAGTGTTACCATTTATATCCACGATGTGTTTATGAAGCTTTTGCTGAATATCAACTACCTGAACTCCTGAGAACTCCTTTGAATTCTCTTTGCTTGCAAATAAAGAGTTTGCAGGTTGGAAGTATTGCTGAATTTCTATCAGCTGCTCTTCAGCCGCCAGAACCATTGGCTGTAAGTGGTTCCTTTCTTTATGCTAATTCCTATGTTTCTTATGCTTTTTTCTGGATCAGTAATACCTTTCATCTTTGTAACAACTAACAATAATATCTACGCCTCTTGAGGTGTGCATAATTTGGTATATACCGAATTATCGAACCAAAACCGAAAACTTCGCTATATTCGGTATTTCAGTATTTGGTTTAGGTTTTTACAAAATTCGGTATTTACGCAAAAAAAAAAGAGAAAAAGAAAAAGAAAAATCGATACCGTACCAAAATACATACTAACTTACACAATGCACATATTTTAGATTATATCAATAGTAAAGGCCTAAGATTTTACATCCTTTATCCTTGTTTTTATTTTAACCTTTCCCACCTTTATTTTGTTACCTTCTTAACTTTCAAGCTTTCCCACCTTTAAGGTTTAGAAATAAGAATCAATAGTTTCAGTTTTCAAAGTTCAAGCCTTTCTACTTCGTAATGCCGACAGATGGACCTCTCTCGCTGCACCTGGAAGAAATCGTTCCATTCACTCTCATACATGATCACGCAATCCTTTCCTCTAACTTAGTCTCTAGAAAATGGAAAGTTACAAAAGGCACTTTCTTTGATTTAGTGTTTTGTCCAAGAATTCTTTTACCTCTTAAAGACAAGAAAGTTACAATTTTTTATCCAAGTCAGAAAAATCAAAGTTACCGAATTGAATAAACCAAAGTCGGAAGGAGAAAAGCCGAACCATACCGAATTTAATTAGGTATGGTATTGATATAGCATTCTAAGAAATCGAATACCAAAATACCGAATCGAAATGTCTAAAAACTATACCCAACCGACCGACGAACACTCCTATATGCGTCGATCCAATTGGGTTTGGCATATTGGGATCTAATTCCTCAATATCCATTCCACTTCATCTTATTCTGGTTCATTTCAGTACTTAATAATTTGTCTTTCGGACAAATTAGGGGCTTCTAAACTAGGAATTTTCTAAAACTCACACTTATCCTTACATTGACAACTTCTAAGTTTGGATGTAATTATTATGGGGTACGTTGCTGATAGCTCAGTCATTTCTAATATTTTGTACTCCCTCTGTTTCAATTTAAATGACATACTTTCCTTATTAGTCCGTTCCAAAAAGAATGACACATTTCTATATTTAGAAACAATTTAACTTTGAACTTTTTATTTTACCCACTTTACCCTTAATGAGAAGCTTCAAGATACAGCTTCAAGTACCTTGGTTCGGTTATCCAGGGGGAGGGGAGATCGACGAGGATGTCACACACNTTAATGAGAAGCTTTTATAGCCACACAAATATATGACCCCACAAAGCTTTTGCCCCCTTAAGCTTTTAGGACCACATGCTTCAAAAGTCTTTTTTTTTTCTTTGTGCCAAGTCAAAGTACATCTTTTAAATTGAAACGGAGGGAGTACTTAGCTGGCAATTTATAAAATTTTGGTCCAGTATCTCAATCTTCTATTTTTAGTTTGTTAGGGAAAATGTAATTTTTTTATCTTATAGTTTTTTGGAAAATTGTCTTTGCTTCTGGTTGAAGTATTATTTGTGTAAAAGCACCGGCCAGAGGTTTAGATTCTTCCTAGTTTGAGTAACCTTGAATTTTGGAATTGTCTGTTGTCTATGTGGATGAGTATTGCTTTAGAATAACCAAGTAGACTTTATATGACATGACCTATGATGGCTCTGATTTCATCATCATTTTGACTAGTTTTACGCTGGTTGTCGGCCTACCCCAACCCTTCTCCTTGGGATCGGCCATAAGCATTTTCAAGTGATCCAAAAGAAAAGAAGGATGAAAGCAAAGAATGATCGGTGCATTTTCATTGTATTTAAAATAGAAATGCAAAGAGCGGGATGGTACTGAAATTCCTTCCCAGATATATATTATTTGGCTTGAAATAGAAAATGGATATTCTTTTTGGCTTGAAATAGAAAATGGATATTCTTTTTGCTTTTCTTCTTAGAGCCCATTTGACCAAACTGCCAAAAACTACTTATTTTGAAAAGTACTTTTCCTAAAATGTTTTTTCAAAAAAGTACTTTTGAAGAGTAGCAATTTGTGTTTGACCAATCTCTTTGAGAAGTACTTTTTACGATATTTGATAAGCAAATCTTGTTTGACCAATCTTTACATAAAGTACTTTTGAATATCAAATTATGGAAACGAACAGTATCAAGGTTCAGTTTGCAATTAGTATTATTTAGAAGAGAGAAATGAATTTAAATATTTATTATGAGCGAATTTAATTAAGTTTTTATTTTTATTTAAATAAAACATTAAACATGAATTGAAAATATATTTTAAAGATTTTATTCAATATAAATATATTTATACAAATACAGTAATATACCCGGTACACTGCAAAAGAAACAAAAATATCATACCTTGTGAAAAAAATGAGTAAATATGGTGATTAGCTTAGTTATTTCAAAGAAGAATAGGAGTTTAAATTTAAAAAGAGGAATAGGAGAGGATAAAAAGAAGAAACAAAGAAGGAAAAAACAACATGAGAAGTATGATCTATTTATATAAGAGAGACTATTCCAAAGAAGAGTAGGAGAAGGAGAATAATACGATGGAAATAAAGAGAGAAGGAAAAGGTATAGGTAATACGAAGTTGTATCGTGACCTGAGGCAGCATTATTGGTGGCGGCGGATGAAGAAGGACATAGTCGAGTATGTAGCGAGGTGACTAAATTTCCAGCATATTAAATATGAGCATCAGAGGCCAGGTGGCCTACTCCAGCAGATGGTTATACCTGAGTGGAAATGGAAGCGCATCACTATGGACTTCGTAGTTGGGTTGCCGCGGACCTTGAAGAAGTTTGGTGCAGTTTGGGTCATTGTTGACAGGCTAACTAAGTCAACACACTTCATTCCGGTCGTGACCACGTATTCTTCAGAGAGATTGGCCCAGATTTACATTCAGGAGATTATTCAGTTGCATGGTGTGCCCGTTTCCATCATATCAGATAGAGGCCCTCAGTTTACTTCACATTTCTAGAGGGTAGTACAGAGTGAGTTGGGGACCCGGGTAGAGCTCAGCACAACCTTTCATCCGCAGACTGACGGGCAGTCGGAGCGGACGGTTCAGATCTTGGAGGATATGCTCAGAGCATGTGTGATTAACTTCGGAGGGCAGTGGCTGTTTCCGAAAGACCCTCGGCTTAGGAAAGATAAAAGAACACACCAATTCTAAAACTGAAGCAAAAATACAAAGATACAAAACTAAAACTGAGTTTTGTAATAAGAAGGCCGAAACGAAAGCAACAACAAGTAATCACATAAATCAAGGCATACGAAAATACATACATAACGCTAACTCATGTACTAAAGCTACTGTTACAGACAAGGACAACACTAGGCGACCTATTCTAACCCTTTACCTTTATTCTCAACCTCCACACCTTCCTATTCCTGGTCATGTCCTCAGTGAGCTAGAGCAACGCCATATCATGCCTAATCATCTCTCCCCAATACTTCTTCGGCCAACCTCTCACACCTCCTCATTGGTGCATCTGCGTCTCTCCTCTTCACATGTTCGAACCATCTAAGTCTCGCCTCCCGCATCTTGCCTTCCACAGAGGCCACGCCCGCCTTATCCCGAATAACTTCATTTCTAATTTTATCCAGCCCGGTATGCCCACACATCCATCTCAACGTCCTCATTTCAGCCACCTTCATCTTTTTGGACATGAGAGTTCTTGAATGACCAACACTCAGCCCCATATAACAGAGTCGGTCTGACCACCGCTCTATAAAACTTACCTTTAAGTTTAGGTGGCACATTCTTATCACACAAAACACCTGAAGCGAGCCTTCATTTCATCCATCCGGCCCCAATTCAATGTGTAACATCCTCGTCGATCTCTCCATTCCCTTGTATAACTGACCCAAGGTATTTAAAACTCTCTCTCCTAGGGATGGCTTGAGAATCAAGGCTCACTTCTTCGTCCACACCCTGAGTCGTTCCACTGAACTTGCATTCCAAGTACTGTGTCTTGGTCCTGCTCAAATAAAAAATGAAAATGAAAAGGTTAAATTAATGAGGGATAATTTTAAAAATATAAATTAGTGGTAAGGATATTTTTGTCTTGAAAATTTAATTTGTGCTTCTACTTCTTGGAAGAAGCTAGAATTCGTAGCTTCTTCCCATAAGCATAAAAACTGATTCTGCTTTCGTTCAGAAGCACTTCTCTGTCTTGGCCGAACACCTCAAATTTCAAAAAAGTATTTTTTTGGGGGGAAAGTGCTTTTGGCCTCCCAGAAACTTGGTCAAACAAGCTATTAAACTTCTTATTAGCACTGTGTTGTAGCTATTCTTCTCTTCTGTTGGATTAAAATAACTTTAGAGAGTGTTTGGATAATTTTAAGCATTTTTTTTACTTATTTTGGTCTTTGATAGCACCAAAGTGCTTGTGATCAAAGTGCTTTTAAGCCAAAATAACTCAGAAGCTTGGACACTTCGAATTATGATTTTTTAGCTTAAAAGCTCTTTGGATTTGACCGAGTATATTACTTTGTTATGAACTTATGCTTTACAATTTTCATATAGCGATAAAAGACCCTTCATTGCATCAAAAAACCCTAACTTCGCTCTCGTTTCTTTTTCCTTATTATGTGCTGCTGCTTTCCATCTCTGCCTCTACAGTCTCGTTTCTTTTTCTTTTAGTCTTAGCAATTGAAGAGCATTTCATTCATTTTAGTAGGAAAATATGCTCAATAAACTACTTGTTTGGAAGCTTCAACACTTTTCTATCCGGACACGTTACTGCTTATTTATGAAAATAGTTCCAACACTTAGAAAGTGCTTTTTAGCACGTGATGCTTAAAACTACTTTTATTCGGCTAGGCTTAGCCGACTCCAAACTTGTTTGGGATTGAGGCGTAGTTCTTTTATGCTTTCATTCAGCTAAGCTTAACGAGATTTGAGATTGATAAAGGCATTAAGTTGACAGCAGACTGGAGTAAAGGGAAGAAGCTTTGGACTCAAATCATAAGTTTCTTGAAACACATAGCAACATGTTTCATTAATTGTAATTTGAAGACTTTGTTAGACTTTTAGAAGTTCTTTATCATCCAATATTCAACAAGTTATATAACTACGAGTTGCTGAATTTGCTTTCGTATTTTTGGTTCACTGATAATTTTTTTAATGAGCAGGCGTGAAGGTTGATTAACTTTAACACGCGAATCATATATCGTTTCTGAACATTGAATGTGGGACTTGAACTTGATTTTCACTGAACTTGGTCTTGTGGGGATTGGACCTTAATAGGCTAACAAGTTCACATGATGCTATACACATGCCATCTGACTTTAGATGGTTGCTATCTTAGTTTCCACCTATCATTGAAGTTTCTATTTCCATGTATTGCAGGTGCAAAATGCTATTCAGTTTTTGAAGATGATTGGTGCATTAGATGAAAATGAGTATCTTACACATCTAGGTATGTGTTCTTTTGAGGCGTGAAGAGAGTGATCTGCTTCATGAAAATGTTAATTTCTTTTATATATATATATATAGTGAGAAAGCACAGGAGAATTTTTTTTGATAAGGTAAATTGTATTAATCAAAAGGGAGAGAACTCCCGTATACACGAAGTATACCAAAGACGTAGAGAATTTACATCAGAACATGATTCTCTACAAAATACGCCCAATCTTCTATACAAGTAGGGGCTAAATGAGTGCACCAAAAAGCGATCAAAGATAAAAGACTATTCTTAAGATGTGAAAAAGGAGACTCAATCTCCTCAAAAACTCTCCTATTTCTCTCCCCCCATACTACCCACATGAGAGCTAACGGGGCGAACTTCCACGCCTTTTGCTTTCTTCTTCTACGAAAACCGCCCCAGCTATATAACATTTCCTTTACAGTGCTTGGCATCACCCATTGAACACCAAAAATATTCAGGATTGCCCTCCACAAAGCAGAGGACACAGGGCAATGCAACATAAGGTGATCAACTTATATTATTGATATCTATTAACTGTTTTACAATAGCCCTATTTATAACTATACACAATACGTATTCTACTCCTATTTTATGTAGGACTAGGGTTATTTACATAACTATATATTCTAACACTCTCCTTCAAGCCACTGCCTACAAATCATATGTACCGAGCTTGTTACATATGTAACTAATACAAGAACCAATGAGAGACTTGGTGAAAATATCTGCAAGCTGATTATTCGACTTTACAAACTTTGTAGCGATATCTTCCTGAGAGTATCTGACGAAATGACAGTCGATCTCAATGTGTTTAGTTCTCTCATGGAACACCAGATTTGATGCAATATGTAGGGCAGCTTGATTATCACACACAAGTTCCATTTGACCGATCTCACCAAATTTCAACTCCTTGAGCAACTGTTTGATCCAAACTAGTTCACATGTTGCCATAGCCATTGCGCGATATTTTGCTTCTGCACTAGTTCGAGCAACACATTCTGTTTCTTGCTCTTCCATGATACCAAATTACCTCATACTAAAACACAATATCCAGACGTAGAAAGTCTATCAGAAGGTGATCCTGCCCAATCAGCATCTGAGTATCCAACGATCTGCTCATGGAATCCTTTGCCTGGAGCTGATTTTAATTTTATATACCGAAGAATGCGGACAACTGCATCCCATTGACTATCACATGGAGAATCCATAAATTGACTCACAATACTCACAAGAAAGGAAATGTCAGGTCTAGTAACTTTGAGGCAATTTAAGTTACCAACCAACCGCCTATATCTTGCAGGATCGCTAAGCGGCTCCCTTTGTCCTGGCAGAAGTTTAGAATTCGGATCCATAGGAGTGTCAACATGTCTACAGCCTGTCTCCTCAAGAATGTCTAAGCCATACTTCTGTTGTGAGATCACATTACTTGAGCTAGACTGGGCGACCTCAATTACTAGAAAATACTTTAATCTGCCTATATCCTTAGTCTGAAAGTTCTAAAAGAGATGTTGCTTCAGCTTAGTAATACCATCCTGATCATTGTTGGTAATAACAATATTGTCAACATAAACCATCAGAAAGATACAGAGATTTGAAAAAATGCCGATAAAACACAAAATAATCAGCTTCACTATGAGTCATGCCAAACTCCTGAATAACTATGCTGAACTTAGCAAACCAAGCTCGAAGAGACTACTTTAGACCATAGAGTGACCGACGCTACCGACATACAAGGCCACTAGACTCGGGTGATTTCTCTATATAACTTCATCCTCAAAGTCACCGTGAAGAAAAACATTCTTAATATCCAACTGATGGAGAGGCCAATAGCGAACAACAGCCATGGATAGAAAAAGGCGGACTGATGCTATTTTAGCCACGGAAGAGAAAGTATCACTGTAATCGTGCCCAAATATCTAAGTATACCCTTTGGAAACAAAACAAGCCTTAAGTCGATCAACCTGGCTATCTGGACCAACTTTGACGGCATAAATCCAACGACAACCAACAGTAAATTTGCCCGAATGAAGAGGAACAAGCTCCCAAATACTACACATCTCGTCAATCATAGTCTGTCGCCATCCTGGATGAGATAGTGCTTTACCTATAGACTTAGGAATGGAAACAGAGGACAAGGATGATACAAACACATAATAGGGTGATGACAGACGAAGATAACTTAAACCGACATAATTGGGATTAGGATTAAGTGTGGACCATATATCTTTTCGAAGTGCAATCGGTGGACTAGGAGGAGACAAGTCTGCAGTAAGAGCAGGGTCAGGTGTAGGACATGAATCAGCTGAGCCTGATGCTGGGCGCAGACGACGATGATAAGTCCAGAGTGGTGTTCTTGTGGCTGGGGATTTAGGAGGAAAAACACTAGATTCCTTAACAGTTGGTATAGGTTGGACTTCTGTAGCTGAGGGTGTGGGAGGAGCTATTGTGAACTCCTCAAGAGTCGGTATAGGTAAGACCTGAGATATATCAAGGTGGTAGGAAGAGGTGAAGTAAGGTCTAGACTCAAAGAATATGACATCAACTGACATAAGGTACCTACGAAGATCAGGTGAGTAGCAACAATATCCCTTTTGAACACCAAAATAACCAAGGAAGACACACTTGAGAGCACGAAGAGCTAATATATCTTTCACAGGGGTTAAGTTATGAACGAAACATGTGCTTCCAAAAACACGAGGGGAAAGGAGAGTAAGGGTGACTGGGGAAACAATACTGAATGCGAGACTTGATTCTGGAGGGGAGATGAAGGCATCCGATTAATCAAGTAACAAGCCGTGAGAACATCATCGCCCAAAAAACGCAGCGGAACATGGGACTGAATGAGAAGTGTCCGAGCAGTCTCACTGAGGTTGTATTATTTCTCTCTGCAACGCTTTTTTTGCTGAGGGGTATAAGGACAAGATGTCTGATGAATAATTTCTTGAGAAGTCATAAACTGCTGAAACTGAGAGGATAACTATTCTAAGGTATTATCATTGCGAAAATTGCGAATAGAAACACCAAATTGATTTTTATTTCAGCACAAAAACTCTGGAATATAGAAAACAACTCAGAACGATCTTCTATTTAGAAAAGACAAATACACCTTGAATAATCATCAATAAAACTAACAAAATAACGAAATTCTAAGGTTGAACTAACTCTAGTAGGACCCCATATATCAGAATGAACTAAAGAGAAAATACACTCTGCACGACTCTCAACACTACGCGAAAAGGTGGCTTGGGTATGTTTCCCAAGCTGGCATGACTCAGAATCTAATGTAAACAAACTAGGCACCATCTTCTGAAGCTGTGATAAACTTGGATGTCCTAAACGTCTGTGAATTAGGTCTGGAGGAGCTGTAACTAGACATGCTGTGGAGGGATTAAGTGAGTTAAGGTAGTAAAGGCCTTGTGATTCACCCCGTATGCCAATCGTATGTCCCGTACTGCGGTCCTGCATAATAAAAGAATCATCAATAAAATATACCACAATGGAGGGCACGAGTCAAACAACTAACAGATGCGAGACTAAAAGGACAGTCAGGGACATAAAGAGCAGAATCTAGAGTGACAGAAGATAGGGGATTAGCTTGTCCAACTCCTTTTGCTTTAGTTTAGAGCTCATTGGCTAAAGTAGCAGTGGGAAAAGACTGTGAATACACAATATTCAACAAAAATGATTTATTACCAGAGATATGATTAGAAGCGCCTGAGTCCATGACTCACGGTCCAAGAGTACTAGACTGCGAAACACAAGCAAAAGAATTACCAGCAATAAAAGTATTAGTCCAAGCAACCGAGGCTACTTGTGGAGATGTCTGGTCTGCTTACTTGCTCGATACTGAAAGAACTCATTATATTCCCCTTCAGATAAAGAAATCCTCGGTTACTTCTAGTCTCGGACTGAGCAACATGAGCATTTCTGGGTGGTAGACCATGTAAAGAATAACACACGTCACGAGTATGTCCAAGTTTGTTACAATAAGAACACTTGGGCCTAGATCTTCCAAAATGACCTCCTCCTCGTCTATTCTCCATAGTTTAAGATGTCAGGTTTTTCACAGTCTGGGATGTGAGAACAAAAGAGTCAACTGTCTGTGATGAGATCACTGGGAGACCGTGTGTTGCAGCAAGGCGAAGTAATCGAGAGAATAATTCATCAACTGTAGGGACAGTCGGACTAGCCAAAATCTGGTCGCTTACTGAATCAAGGTCATTAGGAAGTCCAGCGAGTGTAAGATTAGAAACATCTTCTATCGTTGCTCTTGTAGCTTTTCAACACTAGCAAAAACTGGTATCAACTTCTCAAATTGTTCCCTGAGTGCTTGTACTTGTCCCAAGTAAGTAGACATATCCAATTCCTGTTTCTTTAAATTTTTCATCCGCGATATCACATCCTAGAAACGAGATATGTCGTTAGTGTATAAAGTGCGAGCCTTTTTTCAAACTGAATTACATGTCTGGAATGGACGAAACAAGGGCATCAACTTGGAATCAATAGATCGTCATAAGAGACTACATAACTGGGCATCAATCTTTTTCCAAAGTGCTTTGGCCGTTTTATCTCCATCACTAGCCTTTTTGGTTAAGTGATCTTGAACACGTTGTGCTTTGCACCACAACTCAACTGAGGAAGCCCAAGCTAAATAGTTTGAACTTCTCAGTAAGAGTTCCAAAGTAATCTTAACACTTGAATTTCCACCTCCCACTTTTTTGGAACTAAAAGACATCAAATTCAAGGGACATGGTTGGATTGAATAGAGTTCCAAGCAAAGAAAGTAGTAAATAACTTCACCAATCTGTTTAAGGGCTCAAACAGTAAGATTTAGGCAGAAATTCAAACAGTAACAGTTCGCCGGAAAAAGGTGACTGAAAGTGGCCGAAAAATTGGAATGTGATTGGAATAAAAAAAATAGTATGGATAGGCTCGGGATTACTAGACAACCAAATTGTCTGGAAGGAACTTTGTCCGAAAAATACCTCACACGCCATCGCGTGAGTCGGAGTCTCGCCAGAAAATATTCTGCCGGCGGCGCGTTCTGCCGGAGAAATTTTTACGGGTTGGTCGCCGGAAGCTGATCTACTTCTTGATGGTGTTGGCTTTGGCTTTTGTACAACACCAGTGGATATGAACTTTCTTGCGGACAGACCTGCATTTTTCGGTTAACTGATTTCTTCTTTCCGGAATCGTTGGTAGTTTTTTTTTTTGCACAACGAAGAATCTCTCGCGATTGCGCTGATACCATGTGAGAAACCAAGGGGAAAAAATATTATAGATATTTCTATTAACTGTTTTACACGCCCTATTTATAACTATACACAATACATATTCTACTCCTATTCCATGTGGGACTAGGATTATTTATATAACTATATATTTTAACATATATATGTATATATATATATATATATATATATATAGATATATGTGTGTGTGTGTGTTTATGACTTTTATTCTGCGGTTTATAAGTTATATCTTCACCATTCCTTCACAACCAGGAAAGTTTTTAGCAATTCTCCCGGTGGATCCCAAGCTTGGGAAAATGCTCATTATGGGTGCTATTTTCCGTTGCTTCGATCCTGTATTGACTATAGTGGCTGGTCTTAGTGTGCGGGATCCTTTTCTATTGCCTCAAGACAAAAAGGATGTAAGTAGAAAGCAATTGCGCCATTAGCCTCCCCCATCCCCCTTTTAAATTCATTTACTACTAGTTGGTATTATTCTGCTCTCAATTTGTTATTCATTCGCGCTTTTATTTAGTTTCATGTCCTTGACTTTTCCACCACTTCAAGATTGTGCATCCCTGCTTCTTTCTCATGTTTGCTCAATGATTAGTTATTCCACTTTGCTATTTACATCTTGACGTAAATAACACAAAGTAGTAAGAGGGAGCTATATTGAAAGAAGAATATTATAAATGGTTTAACTTTTGTCACTTGAAATGTATTTTGGGAGAAGTTTAGAGTTTTAGTTTGTAGGAGTTCTATTTTGTAATATTCCAGGGTGTATTCCTTATTAAGCAGTTTGACATTGATCTGGCTTTCCCAGAAGAACACAAAATATTTAAAGTAAGAAGGAATAATAAAACAGATGGAAAATGCATATACTTATGCCTGAGAATGGAGGGTTTATTTGTAAAGATGGTGTCACATAGGTGAGGTGGGACCAAGGTGGGAGCTTTTTTTTCTACAGGTCATCTCCCTTATTCATTGAAAAAAACAATGGAAACTGGATTGTTTTTTTATCTTATAAAGTGATAAGATTTATTTCTTATTAAGCAGTTTGACATTGATGTGGCTTTCCTAGAAGAACACAAAATATTTAAATTTTAAAGTAAGAAGGATATGAAGACAGATGGAAAATGCATGTACTTATGCCTGAGAATGGAGGGTTTATTGGTAATAGAAAGTGTCACATAGGTGAGGTGGGCACCAAGGGGGGAACTTTTCTTTTTTAAAAGGTCATCTCCCTTGTCCATTGAGGAAAACAATGGAAACTAGATTGTCTTTTTATGTTATAAAATAATAGGATTTTATTAAAGAAGGGCAAAAAACACCCATATACAAGTGGTATACAAAAAAGTAAAAAACCTTACAAAAAGATATGATTCTCTATGAATGACACCCAATCTTCTATACATATAGGAACCTCTTGGGTGCACTACAAAGAAATAAGGCATAAAAGGCTAACCTAAACATTCCTTTGAAAAAGAAAGGGTAAGAGGCTATTCCTTAAGTGTACAAACTTATTCTCTTCTTCTCCAAGAGCTCCTCTATTTCTCTCTCTTCCACATAAGTGCTAGTGGAGCAACATCCCGCGCCATGCGTTTTCTCTTTCGTCTTCTAAAGGACCAGCTGAATATTGCTTCTTTAACAGTGCCTGACATCACCAACTGAAGTTCAGACTATCTCAAAATTTTCCACCACAAGCGAGATGCTAACTCTCGATGTAAAAGGAGGTGATCCACACCTTCATCCTGGTTTCTGCATAGTAGAGACCAACTGATATATATAATTGTCCTATTCCTCAAAGTCGTAGCGGTCAAGATCAACAGAGGCGGAGCTAGAATTTGAAGCTTATGGGTTCGGGATTCTAGTTCTTTTAAGTTACTGGGTTCTAAATTAATAATTTGTACGTATTCAATGGATTTTGTAAGACAAATACAGAGTTTGGACCAAAGCTACTGGTTTAGCCGAACCCATACACGAAGAGCTAGCTCCGTCCCTGAAGATCAACCCTCCCGAACTAGCCAAATGAAACAATTTACCTTTCTCGGAACCCTAGGAATCCATATTGAGAAATATGGAAGCACTGTCTCTTCCCTTTCCAAGAGCTTGTCACAATAGTACTTAACAAAGAACACACCATTACTCCTTGCCTCCATACATCGTGACTATCCTGTGTAGTTCTTTGTTTCATGAAGCTACTCAACCAAACTTTGGAATTCTACGACCTCCCAATCTTGCAAGTTCCTCCTAAACCTCAAATGATAATGAACTTCTCCACTTTGTAGCCTCGGTATTCGTTGGGTTGGCATCTCCTTTTGGCATGCAATCCTAGACATGTTTCGAAATGTTATTCTCAAAGGGGCTGTTTGGTTGGAGGGAATAAGTGGATTATCTCGATATAAATTTTGGATTAAATCTATCTTATGTTTGGTTGAGGGTATTAGCTAAAATCAGGATAGCTTTTATACCATAATCATGGGATTATCTGTCCCATATAGAAAGTGGAATAGATAATCTTGGTTGTAATCCCATGATCATCATTCTAACCAGGATAAGCTGGTTTTGAACCGAACCACCCCAAAGTATTATTCACCACTTATTTTCCCAAAAACTAACCTTGCTTATCATCCACCTTGAACAACACATTCTAGCTGAATTCTTCCCAGTCCTCCAAATATTCCTCCATAAGCAATCACTTCTACCCAAGAGTACTCTCCTCTACCTCAAAGTGTAACATTTTTGTTCTCCAACCCCCTTCCAAAACCCTATATTCTCCACGATCACTTCTCTCCAAGAGTACTCTCCTTTTCCCAAATCTCCATAGCCATTTTACAAGCAATGCTTTGTTAAAGAACTTTAGATCTTTAACCCCAAGTGCACCCCAATGCTTTGGTGTCGTAATTGCTTCCAATTTACCGAGTGAAACTTCGTCGTCCCGTTTGTCGAGTCTCTTAGAAAAATCCCTTTGAAGTTTTTCCAACTTCCTCATTAGACTAACTGGAGCTTGTAACAACATGAAATATGTGAGAATGCTCGATAACACACACTTAATCAACACTTCCTTTTTCTCTTATGAAAAAAATCTCTTTCGCCAACCTGCTGACCTCTTTTTAAGCTCTCTATATCACCGGATTTCAAGTAGCTGGGTCCTTATACGATGCACCTAATGATAAATGAAGATAGGTACTAGGAAGTCCCCAACCTTGCAATTAAACACATTTACCAACATCTCAATGTTCTCCACCTCATCTATGGGGATAAGCTCGCATTTTCTTAGATTAATCTTTAGGTATAATACCATATGGAGCCATGTTAGCACTCCCAAGTATACCAACTGAGTTCTCGTAACAGCACAAAACACTAACCCATCTTGCTAATTCCTCCATCTTGCTCCAAAACCCATCTTTATCGTGAGGAAGTCAAGAAAACCCCAATTAACGTGATCGTAGGACTTCTCAAGATCTAGTTTGCACAAAATACTTGGTTCTTCTTATTTTTTTCTAGAATCCGCCACTTCATTTGCCACGAATGTTGCATCAAGCATTTGTCTACCTTTCACAAAAGCATTCTGCGAAGTAGATACAATCTCATCCTAGATCTTCTTTAGTCTATAGAAAAGGACTTTATGTATAATTTTATAGATGCTACCCACTAGACTAATCGGTTTATAATCCTTGATGCTCGTAGCACCCTCCCTTTTCCGAACAATGGTAATGAAAAGGGTCGAGAGTCTTTTTCAAATTCTCCCGTCTCCTGAAAAGCTGCAATGGCCTCCATCACCTTGTATGTTGGCACTATTGAAAGAATGCCAAGTAAATTTATCTTGGTTCCAGAGCTTTATCCCCTAAATCAATACTCAACCAACAGCCTTCAGAAGGACCTCTGCCCCAATGTTAATTAGTTTATGGTATTTGGTCTTACTTCTGAATAATAGTCTTGAAGGTAAACACTTAAAAAGATGGGGTACATATATAAATAAACTATTATATTCAATTTTTGGTACCAGTTTAAAAAATATTCAAATTTTGAATAATAGTTTATTTAATTCTTTCTCTAAATTTCCTGAAATGCTAATTAGTTTATAGTATTTGGTCTTGAGGACATTTGAACAACACTAACTTGGCACTATTCCCATCTGAGTCATCTTCTCATTATCAACTATAGGTATAGCCTCGGCAGCTAGAGCAGTATAACACTGTACTAGATAATGCTTTGTGGGCTTTACTAAATCGTGTCCACCAATATTGATACACTCCTATCTTGCAGTTAGCGGGGACTGCAAAGTCTAGATTCTCAGCAAAAGACTATAGTGACCATATGGCGCTTGTCCGTGCATATGAAGGATGGAAAGATGCTGAAAGGGAAGGTTCTGCCTACGAATACTGCTGGAGGAATTTCCTCTCTGCCCAGACTCTTCAAGCTATCCATTCTCTTAGAAAGCAATTTATCTTCATCTTGAAAGATGCTGGATTGCTTGATGCTGATACTGCAACTAACAATAAACTAAGTTACAATCAGTCTTTGGTTCGTGCTGTCATATGTTCTGGCTTGTATCCTGGAATTGCATCGGTGGTGGTATGTAATGGTTCTACAGTTCTGATCTGGTTTCGCGAATTCATCCAAGTCCAACTGTATATATGTACTTATAGAAATCATGTGCATGTGCAGCACAGAGAGACATCAATGTCCTTCAAGACTATGGATGATGGACAAGTCTTGCTTTATGCTGTAAGTTCAATGGACAATTCTTTGAAGTTATTTGTTTAGATTAGGAAGTTAACACGATTATTTTTGTTTCTGCTATTTCTATCGTATTAAGTCCTGATGCAATTATGTGAAGTGCAAGTTATGTATCCCTTCCCAATACAGAACTATTTTTATTGGGTTTGCTTTAACATGAAAATTCTTGCTGGAAACATTAGTTCCCAGCTCTTTTTTCTTTTTCAACATTTGCCAGAATTCAGTTGTTTTCATCAGCCAAGCAAGTCCCTAAATTGTTGCTCTACGTTTGTACAGGCTTCGTTATTGGTTCGAAGTTCCGACTTGTTTAGATCTGTAGAGATGTTCATGTTTAGTTTTTCGTAGCTTATGAAAATAAGGTGTAAACTGCCATCAGGTTGTTTGCTTCTGTGTATGTAGTCATCAACTCAAACTTTTACCATATGCATTTACCAAGCTTAGAAATGTGTCTTACATGTATTTTCTACTACAAGAATATTTGATTTTTTTTTTTTGAATGGGAGGAGGCTTTTCACACAAATAAAATCTTTTCCTCATTGTATTTGATAGGACGTCTGTCCAACAAAGTTTCTGCCTTCGAGGTATCACCTTAAACACAAAATAATAAACCGTACAAGGAGAAAGAAAATAGAAGAATGGGATAATATTCTGGGGGAAAGTGTTTAAAATTCTGAACAGGGAAAGCATGCATAGCTTGAAATGATACCTATTAGGGAATTGGAAGGTTTTTTTTTTCTTTTTCTTTTCTTTTCTTTTGGCTTAGCCTATTTGTTTTCGAGTCTACTGATTCATTTGATGACTTTTTCCCAGAATTAAAAAGATCTTGATCTCCCCAATCCACATTCTTGACTCTCCCAAAAGCTCTTATGTTCTCCCTTTTTCTATTACCCAAGCATTTGATTTGCTGCTGTTCTACAATGGTAGCCATGATTGCTTATGAAAATAAGGTGTAAACTGCCATCAGGTTGTGTGCTTCTGTGTATATAGTCATCAACTCAAACTTTTACCATATGCATTTACCAAGCTTAGAAATGTGTCTTACATGTATTTTCTGCTACAAGAATATTTGATTTTTTTTTTGGAACGGGAGGAGGCTTTTCACACAAATAAAATCTTTTCATTGTATTTGATAGGACGTCTGTCCAACAAAGTTTCTGCCTTCGAGGTATCACCTTTAACACAAAATAATAAACTGTACAAGGAGAAAGAAAATAGAAGAGTGGAATAATATTCTGGGGGAAAGTGTTTAAATTTCTGAACAGGGAAAGCATGCATAGCTTGAAATGATGCAGCTGGACCTATTAGGGAATTGGAAGGTTTGGTTTTCTTTTTTTTTCTTTTCTTTTCTTTTGGCTTAGCCTATTTGTTTTCGAGTCTACTGATTCATTTGATGGCTTTTTCCCAGAATTAAAAAGATCTTGATCTCCCCAATCCACATTCTTGACTCTCCCAAAAGCTCTTATGTTCTCCCTTTTTCTATTACCCAAGCATTTGATTTGCTGCTGTTCTACAATGGTAGCCATGGTTGCTGGAAATGCCGCTGATATCAAAATATTTTTTTGATAAGGGTAAATAATTTTATAAATGTAGGAAAAACTCCCGCATACAAGCCGTATACCAAAAGTAGAGAACCTACGCCAATAATATGATTCTCTACAAATGTCACCCAATCTTCTATACAAACAGGAACTTCATGGGTGCACAAAAAACTCTTACAAAGATTAGAGGTTATTCCTCAACTGTACAAAATTACTTTAATCCCTTTATTTCTCTTTCCACAAGACTCGGATGATGGTTATGAGGCCACTGCATCTTCTGTTCCTTCTTCTAGCAGCCTAGCTATTCAGTGCATCCTTACTGAACCTGCATCGCTCATTGCACCTCGAACCAGTTCAGAACAAACCACTACAGGAACGAAGCTACTTGGCAGTGTAACAAGAGGTGATCCACGTCTTCTCTCGAACATCTTCACATAAAGCACTAGCTAACATATGTAATCCTCTTCCTTCTTATGTTCTTTGCTGTCAATATCACCGCTCTTGCTGCCAAGAAGCGAAGAAGCATGGCTTCCTAGGTGCTCTAGGAGTCCAAACTGACACATAGGAATACTCGACTGCCCTCTCACCAAAAGCTTATGGTATGATTTTACTGAAAGCACACCATTACTTCTCGATCCCCACCTCCATGAATCCTGAACAGTGGGTGTAGTATTCTGTTTGCAGAGCATTTCCATCAACCTTGGAATTCATCCACTTCTCAATCTTGTAAGTTCCTCCCAATCTCAAGTTCCAAACCCCCCTCCCCCCATCTTGTACAACCCGAATCTGTTCCACCATCGCCTCTTTTGACACGGAACTCTAAATAAGTTGGGGAAGGTCGTCGTCCTCAACATGCTCTTTCTGCGCCACCGCTGATCCCATCTCTTCATGATATCTCTCCAAAGCCTGCATCCATCAGGTAATCAAATATTCCTAGATTTCCATCCCCTTCTACGACCCCATATTTTTCCTAGTTTTCCTAGTGCAAGACAAAAGATTTCGTGGTGCCTCCACAGAGGCTAAAGTCCTCGCACTCTCCTGAAGAGCTATTGCGAAACTGATAGAACACTACAGGTTCCCACGAAGCTTCCCACGACGCGACGAACACGAGAAGGAAGTGATTGTGCTGGCAACCGCAAAGAGTGGACAAAAAGGCTTTCTCCCCAGCTGCGGTGATAGACCACTTAATTGTGATTACCTCAAGGAAGAAGGTCAACAACTGTGGTAAGACAAGGGGGGACAAGTGTTCTTAAGAATGATTGGGCTTAAAGACACACAAATCAGTAGAATCACTTTAGCGGGGGTAACAAAAGCTGGAATTCTTCCTGCTGAAAACAAGGGACCTCCTTGTCATCCTAGGAGTTAGCAGAGGTATGAAAGAGTCCCCTCTCTGTATCTATGGCCTTAGAGTAGTGTATCAAATTAACGGACAAGAGCCGCCATTATCATTGACGAAAAGGAAAGCTTGGAAACTGATCAAACATATTAAGTATGCTACAAAAAAAAATTCTATCGGCCCTTTTTTTGGCAGAAGAAACCTCAAAAATTAAGTATCTTTCTTCCTCCTTTAAATTCTCAATTGTGAGAATTGCACTCCTTGCTGCAGCCTTGCAAACACCGCTTGCTTTGCGGAACATTGGTTCAGAACTGGAATTCAGATCAAGCTCCACAGGCCTATGAAAGTCTCTAGAGTTATCTTTATACCAGAGTAGTCTCAGCCATTCTGTTGAATTTTCAACATCCTTTGGACATTGTAGATGTTACAGTTATAATGATTATCTGCGTAAGCCCATTCTCTGTCTTATAGAGTTTGTAGAACAATTGCCGTTAGGAATTGATGAAATGACTAAAATGGTTCATACTGCTTTATCTTGTGTCCAAGAAGGAAGGAGTGTTACAAAGAAAGTCTTGTTCAACTTATCTTTAGTTCGTAACTGTTGCCAATTCAGGAAATTCTTCTTTTCAATCCTTCCAATTTGTGTAAGCGGAGATCTAACTATGCCATTTAATTACACAAATTCATTGCCTAAACGTGATATCTACACAACAGTTGCTTTGGACATCCCTTTCCAGATAGGAAGGTGGACCTGCACTTCAGCAGTTGAATAGTTGTTTAGTTACAAACGTTTACTTCAATTGCTATATATCTGTCATATTGCTGAAGTTGTTTGAACATCTGAATGATGTGTCTTCAGAATTCAGTCAATGCTCGTTATCAAACGATTCCATACCCTTGGTTGGTGTTTGGTGAAAAAGTGAAGGTCAATACAGTCTTCATACGAGATTCTACTGGAGTATCTGATTCGATTGTGATCCTATTTGGTAGTACTCTTGACAGCGGAGATACGGTAACTTCTTCTCTGCCTAGATGCTTACAGATTCATATCATGGAAGTTGTTAACTGGCTGGGGATTTCTATATCTTGTGATTACATTTTTTTTTTCAGGCTGGGCATTTAAAGATGTTGGGTGGATACATAGAGTTCTTCATGGATCCTACTCTAGCAGATTGCTACATAAAGCTCAAAGAGGAGCTTGAAATGCTTTTGCAAAAGAAGGTAATTTTCCAGGATCTCATTGCTTTTTCGATGCTTCTATTCCTAGTTATGAATCATTTTATTTCTGGCTAGAAAGACAGCAGGCACACTAAACTACTTTAAGCATGGTATCTCAGTAAACTTCCTTCTTTACTGTGAGAAAGCACGGGAGAAAAATATGTTATTGATATGTTCAATTATAAAATAATGAGCCCTATTTATACAATACATATCCTACTCCTATTCTATGTGGGACTAGGACTAAGTACATATTATTAATAACTATCTAACACTCCCCCTCAAGTCGGAGCTTACAAATCAAATGTACCGAGCTTGTAACATATGTAACTAATACGAGGACCAGTGAGGGACTTAGTGAAACATACCTGCAAGCTGATCATTCAACTTCACAAACTTTGTAGCAATATCTCCTGAGAGTATCTTTGCTCTGACGAAGTGACAATCAATATCAATGTGTTTAGTTTTCTCATAGAACACCGGATTTGATGCAATATAAAGGGCAGCTTGATTATCACAAACAAGTTCCATCTTGCTGATTTTATCAAATTTTAACTCCTTGAGCAACTGTTTGATCCAAACTAGCTCACACGTTGCCATAGCCATTTCTTGATATTCTGCTTCTATGCTAGACCGAGCAACCATATTTTGTTTCTTGCTCTTCTAAGATACCAAATTACTTCCTACTAAAACACTATCCAAACATAGAACGTCTATCCGAAGGTGATCCTGCCCAATCAGCATTTGAGTATCCAACAATCTGCTCATGGCCTCGATTCTCAAACAATAATCCTTTGCCCGGATCTGATTTTATATATTGAAGAATGCGGACAACTGCATCCCAATGACTATCATAAGGAGAACCATAAACTGACTCACAGCACTCACAAGAAAGGAAATGCCAGGTCTAGTCACTGTGAGGTAATTCAATTTACCAACCAGCCATCTATATCTTGCAGGATCGCTAAGCGGCTCTACCTGTCCTGGCAGAAATTTAGAATTCGGATCCATAAGAGTGTCAACAGGTCTACAACCTGTCATTCCTGTCTCCTCAAGAATGTCCAAGGCATACATTCATTGTGAGATCACAATACCTGAGCGACTTCAATACCCAGAAAATATTTTAATTTGCGTAGATCCTTAGTCTGAAAGTGCTGGCGCAATCGACATACAAGGCCACTACACTCCCCCTGAGCAACAAAACCGGGTGGTTGTTCCATATATAGTTATAAACTTCATCCTCAAGGTCACCGTGCAGAAAAATATTCTTAATGTCCAACTGATAGAGAGGCCAATGGAAAATAACATTTATGGATAGATTAAGGCGGATTGATGCTATTTTAGCCACGGGAGAGAAAGTATCACTATAGTCGAGCCCAAATATCTGAGTATACCCTTTGGCAACAAGACGAGCCTTAAGTTGATCAACCTGGCCGTTGGGACCAACTTTGACTGCATACACCCAACGACAACCAATAGTAGATTTACCTGAAGGAAGAGGAACAAGCTCCCAAGTACCACTCGTATGTAAAGCAGACATCTCGTCAATCATAACATGTCGCCATCCTAGATGAGATAGTGCTTCACCTGTAGACTTAGGGATGGAAACAAAGGACAAAGATGATACAAATGCATAATGGGGTGATGACAGACGAATAACTTAAACCTACATAATGTGGATTAGGATTAAGTGTGGACCGTATACCTTTCCGAAGTACAATCGGTGGACTAGGAGGAGACAAGTCCGCAGTAGGAGCAGAGTTAGGTGCAAGACGTGAATCAGCCCGGCCTGATGCTGGGCGCGGGCGACGGCGATAAGTCAAGAGTGGTGTTCCTGTAGCTAGGGATCTTGGAGGAGCAATACTAGATTCCTCAACGGTTGGTATGGGTAAGACTTCTGTGGTTGAGGGTATAGGCGGAGCTGTTGTTATCTCCTCAAAAGTTGATATAGATAAGACCTCAGAGATATCAAGGTGGTCAGAAGCAGTAAAATAGGATCTAGACTCAAAAAATGATGTGTGACATCATCTGACATAAGGTACCTACGAAGATCAGTTGAGTAGCAACGATATCGCTTTTGACACACTTGTTAGCATGGGGAGCTAACTTATTTACCAGGGGCTAAGTTATGAACGAAACATGTGCTCCCAAAAACACGAGGGGGAAGAGAGTATAAGGATGACTGCGGAAACAATATTGAATACGGAATCTGATTCTGGATGGGGATGAAGGCATTCGATTAATCAAATAATAAGCTGTGAGAACTGCGTCGCCCAAAAAAATGCATCGGAACATGAGACTCAATGAGAAGTGTGCCAGCAGTCTCAATGAGATGCCTATTCTTTTTCTCTGCAACCCCATTCTGCTGAGGGGTATAAGGACAAGATGTCTGATAAATAATTCATTGAGAAGTCATAAATTACTGAAACTGAGGGGATAAATATTCTAAGGCATTTTTACTGGGAAAAATGCGAATAGAAACACCAGATTGATTTTTTATTTCAGCACAAAAACTCTAGAATATAGAAAATAACTTAGAACGTTCTTTCATTAAGAAAAGCCAAGAGAATGAATTGACTCTACTAGGACCCCATATATCAACATGAACTAAAGAGAAAACAGACTCTGCATGATTCTCAACACTACGCGGAAAGGTGGTTCGGGTATGTTTTCCAAGCTGACACGACTCACAATCTAAGGTAGACAAACTAGGCACCATCTTCTGAGGATTGGATAAACTCGGATGTCCTAAACGTCTGTGAATTAGTTCTGAAGGATCTGTAACTGGACATGCTGTGTAGGGGTTCAGTGAGTTAAGGTAGTACAAGGCTTGTGATTCACGCCATATGCCAATCGTCTATCCCGTATTGTGGTCCTGCATAATAAAAGAATCATCAATTAAATATATACCACAATGGAGGGCATAAGTCAAACGGCTAACAGATGCAAGACTAAAAGGACATCTAGGGACATAAAGGACGGAATATAGAGTGACAGAAGATAGGGGATTAGCTTGTCCAGCTCCTTTTGTTTTTGTCTAGAACCCATTGGCTAAAGTAACAATGGGAAAAGACTGTGAATATACAATATTCGACAAAAGTGATTTATTGCTAGAGGTATGGTCAGAAGCGCCTAAGTCCATGACCCAAAGTCTAAGAGTACTAGACTAGGAAATACAAGCAAAAGAATTACCTGCAACAGAAGTATTAGTTTGAGCAGCCGAGGCTACTTGTGGAGATGTCCTGTTTACTTGCTCGATACTGAAGGAACTCATTATATTCCCCTTTAAATAAAGAAAATCCATGTTTACTTGTAGTCTCGATCTTAGCAACGTGAGTATTTCTTGGTGGTCGACCATGTAAATAATAGCACACTTCACAAGTGTATCCAAGTTTATTACAATAAGGACACTTGGGTCGAGATCTTCCAAAACGACCTCCTCTTCGTCTATTCTCCATAGTTTGAGATGCCTGATTTCCACTGTCTAGGATGCGAGAACAGAGGAGTCAACTGTCTGTGATGAGATCAATGGGTGACTTGGTGCTGCAACAAGACGGAGTAATCGAGAGAATAATTCATCAACTGTAGGGACGGTCGAACTAGCCAAAATCTGGTCATGTACTGAATCAAGGTCATTAGGAAGTCCAGCGAGTGGAAGAACTAGAAACTGGCATTAACTTCTCAAATTCCTCCATGACTGCCTGTACTTGTCCCAAGTAAGTAGACATATCCAATTCCTGTTTTTCAAGTTTGTTATTCGTGATATCACATCATAGAAACGAGATATGTAATTAGTATATAAAGTGTGAGCCTTTTCCCAAACTAAATGACATGTCTGGAATGGACGAAACAAGGACATCAACTTGGAATCAATAGATCGCCACAAGATACTACATAATTGAGCATTGATTTTTTCCCAAAGTGGTTTGGCTTTTTAATCTCCCTCACTAGCCTTTTTGGTTAAGTGATCTTGAACACGTTGACCTTTGCACCACAATTAAACAGAGGAATCCCAAGCTAAATAATTTGAACTTACCATTAAGAGCTCTAAAGTAATCATGAAGCTTGAATTTCCATAACCCATATTTTTAGAACCAAATACATCAAATCCAAGAGACATGGTTGTACCAAATATCAAAGACAAGTACGAACAACAATAATCTCTCCAGAAAAGTGAAGAGAAAAGGCCGGAATTCGGAAACCACTTGATTCTGGAGAAACAGTCGTCGGAAAAACAAAAAGTGGTCGGCGCGTGAGGGTGCGTGAAGGGTGTTCTGCCGGAGAAACTTTTCCAAAAAGTGGCCAAAAACTGCCGGCGCGTGACGTCTGAACCTCGGCGAAAAATTTTCTTTGGGCGGCGCGTGAGGGTACTTAGAGGGTGTTCTGCCGGAGATTTTTTTATGAGTTGGTCGCCGGAGGCTGATCTACTTCGTGGTGGTGTTGGTTTTTGCACAATACTGACGAATAGTAGTTTTTTCTTGCGGCAGACCTGTGTTGCCGGAAAAAGACTTCCGGTTGACTAATTTCTCTTCCTGGAGTCGCTGGAATTTATGCACAACAATAAATCTCTCATGATTGCTCTGATACCATGTGAGAAAGCATGAGAGAAAAATATATTATTGATCTATTCAATTACAATGAGCCCTATTTATACAATAGATATCCTACTCCTATTCTATGTGGGACTAGGACTAATTACATATTATTCATAACTATCTAACATTTACCTTTAAGATAGTCTAGAACTCAAAAAGTACTCTCAATTCGAATTCTTACAGTAATTACTGTATTAAGGAGATTGACCAAATGACTTGTTTGATAGTTATAACCTTAGTAATACTAATTTGTGTAAAGCAATTTAATGTTTGAGGTTTGTTTATTGGTTATCTAATTAACTTTGACGACTATCTTTTTTGGGTGGGTTTTTTTCGGGGTGGGGGGTGGAGAGCAGGAAGGAAAGTGGTCTACCCTGAAAACTTGTGAAGAAACTGAACAAAAAACTG